TTTTTTGTTTTCGCTGACATACGTAGGTGTTTTGCTGCGTTATGCGAGTGCTAGTCGTCTTCGGTATTTTACTTTATTGTAAAAATTTCTCCGATGAACTGTGGTTGTTAGGAGAGTGTCATGGTGATTTTGTGCCTTTTGTTTGAATGCGAAGTGGAATTTTGAACCATACTCGCGTGATGCGAATAAGTCTTGTTTTTCACTATTTCAGTGGTAAGCCTGAAGACCTATACGGCATTGTTGTTCATCAAGGATGCGTGGAGTATCGTTGGTGCGACGAAAGTGCAGAGCTGTCTGCAAGAGAAGGCCATTTTTCCCGTCAATATGCCTCCCGTGAAGGAGGACGAAGATCTCACTGACCTGTTCGCCATCTACACGCAGTTCCAGTCATACGGCTCTGCGCTGAGCGACGTGCCTTTACGCGAATATTTGGTTTTCGACAAGGAACTCACGTTCTACCACAGTGGTCCCGATCAGGGCGCTATCGAAGAGGCAGACAGTGATGACATTGAGGAAGACGTGGTCGGTGATTGCGGCAATGGTATGGACGCGATCGTGCACAGCTGAACTCAACTCAAACGCTGTTTCATGCTCGTGTGGTAGGCGCGCGCGCAGGCAACCGTTTTAATCCGTCCGCCTGCAGGATGCGGCGATGAAACCACAATGACAAGCACGTGCACGAATTACGTCTGGGGACTCTTCGGCTTGATAAGTAAAGACAGAGTACACTTTTCAGATTATAACGTTGTAGATCTAACTTCGGAAATCGTGTTGCACATCAAGTTGTGTGTAGTCCGTACAATCTATTACGGGTCTTCCAGTACTCGCACCGTCATTGCTGGTCGATCCGGTCGTACTTTTCTGTTCGCTACAAAATTCTTTCAAATTACTTAAATCAAACGAAAGTATTTGTTCGTCGATGTTGTGTACTACTCTTGTCGTGCCGGAAATTTATTTGTTCCCTTTCTACGATTATATGTTTCTTTTTGGTTAAAACAGTGACGATGGCTGCGGCTGCTACGCGGACATTTCAAAACGTTGTTTTTCTGTGAACCATTCAGCGGTTACCATCTCAAATGTCATGTCATATGATTTAAAAAGGCGACCTGTGTTACTCTGTCTCATCAGAAATGTTGTTTCGATCGAGTTTCGATTTGACTTATGTTGCAATATGTGTACAAATTTTTCTTTGTTATCGAAGCTTTGAGGCGGTTTTACGGCATCGTCGGTTATTCGCGCGTAATCGTTGTTTCTGGCCATGCTGTTTTCTGTACCGATTTTCATTAAACATACATTCGCTACTGCGCGTCATTAACGGAACCGAAAGATAGGACCAAATTTTATAATGAATGCTTTTCTGACAGTCACTTAAAGCACCGGTCATCAACCTCTCGGACAGTACGGACCAGTAAAGTCAAAATTGTCAATCTCGGGGACCACTAGCGTGATTTTTTCGGTAAAAGTAACATTCTAAATATGAAATGGTGCTTACACCTGGTTTTGAACTCCAAGCTATTGGCGAAACATTTAATAGCATCATTGTTAATATAATTAATAATGTAATCGCCTTATAATAAACGTGATTCATTACACAAAGTGCGAAAAGAACTTTAAATTTCATTTTATTAAAAACGAATTAACAGAAACAATTACGGTATTTTGCCATCGATAGCGCGCGCGGTATCTCTAAAACAAAGTCCGGTCAACGTAAAAAACAACGGCATTTTATGCATTGAAAAACAAAAAATTCCAAATTTTTAAAGTTACCTACCTATGCGCTAATTTTAAACTACATTTATTGTGAAAATAAATTAGTCTGAAACAATGTACATATTGCAATATCAGTGAATATAATAGTTAATATAACAATCAGATAAAAATTAAATGTAAAATAACATTTATTGTGCATACGTATTACGACAATCTTACCCATAAAACTCCATCTGAATCAGTATAAAATGAATCAGGAACATTTACAATTTTATCAGGTATGTCACTCGGTTCCTTTTCTGAAATTAATCCTCGTCTGTTTTGCGGTGTCGGAGTATCTACTACATTTCCTAATGCTTTCAAAACCCGCTTTTACACACCACCGTAACGCCTTGCCAACTTCCACGGATGCATCTGCACATTTCTCCATATGATACTCCTTTAATCTTTCTTGATTCACTATAGTCTTTAATTCCAGCCATTCTCAGCTTCATCCATCTGGATCGCAACTTTGACCTAAAAGATTTATTAACGGATAAATCAGACGGCTGAATCTTGTTAATCCACCAGGAAAAATTGCTAATTTTGAATACTTGCATTCTAACCCTTTCACATTTTCGATAATATGCGCATGGCAAAAGTCAATTATTAATAAGGATTCTGGATTGAAAATGGCTTGTTTTCTTTTTCTCCAAACATTTTCACTGTGCCTTGATTGGCACATTCTTTCTCATTCACATCAATCAAAATGCCTTTTGGAAAGTTTCCTTTAGGCACGATTTTCTCATAAATATAACCAAGCTTCCTACCATCGCTAGTCACACTTAACACAGCGGTCAAATTCGACTTCTTATGTCCGGTTGTAGGTACGAAAACTTCATTCGACACTTCTAAATTAACAGTAATTGACCCCCCCCCCCAGGGAGATCAAAGCCAACGGACACTTCGCCCATATTGCCAAATGTGCAGGACCCACATTACACAAACTTCCTTTAACGTAAAGTCTAGATTTCTCTACCTTCGCTTCCCGGGTAGTTTCTGGCCAACACTCGAAAACAAACGAATACATATATTGTTCCGTTTCCTAAATCTTAGAGCCAATGTTCCGTTAGCTGCCAAATTTCCTATTTTTTCCTCTCTCACAACCATTTTTGCCCTCAACAAAAATGTTCAACCTTATGTCCTGTAGATCTCACTGAAAAACCCCACTCCAGATGTACTTTACGAGCTCCGGCCAGAAACATGTCCTGCGCCTTATTGTACGTTTGTTCTGGTATAATCATTTTGCGATTACTTTTTCCTACCTCCATTCCCGTACACTAGGCTCTGCAACGTTAAATTTTCTGGTTGCCTGAGGCTATTTCTTTCGCGAAATTAACGGATTCCATCTTAAGCGTCGTTGCATATGAATTCCTCCGCACAACATATTTTCTCCATGGGCAGTTTTCTCAGTAGCAACTTTTAATTTTAAAAACAAAGTACACGTGTTCAAAGACCAGAAGCAATGTGGTGAATCTTGTCACTTCGTTTGTCCCTTTGTTTCAGAGACAGCCACAGTCAATCATGCCATTCCATTCTTCATTTGTGTGCAAACTGCCTTTTTTCAGTCAAGAAAAAACTATACGCTGTCTGTACATTTTCATGAGCATTAAATGGCAGAAGGCACTTAGTATTTAAATAATTTAACGAGCACAATAAAGTACAAAGATACGCGTTATCGCGATTTGATTTGATAATCCTTTTTACTTTTCAATACCGGATTAAAGCAGCGTAAACACCATCACTTGTTTCTAGTGGCTTACGGGATCATTCAAGCAGGCCACGGTTCCATGTTATATCAGCACCCATAATTCATCGATGCTGAACCGCATCACTAGCAGGGCCGAACAAGGGCCTGATAGGACACCCAACAATACGTCACCATCCGTAGGTATATATACAGAAAAAACCGACTTTAGGGGTTCACTAGCATACTGCTAGTTCTTGATATGATCGTGGTATATTTGCAGGTGTCTGTACAGGTTCTTGCTCGAAACTCCCTAGTGATGCGGTTCAGCATCCATGCACTGCGGCTGCTCAAATACCAAATTGGTGTCGCCTCCTTAAATGGTTCCGTAGGCCAGCGGTCCCCAACCGGTGGTCCGCAAGAGACTTTTGGTGGCACGTAGAGTAATTTGGATGTACAGTCGTACGTAGCCATATCGCGGTTTCGCTGTGTCGCGTTTTTTTAAATTGTACATATTTAATTTTGTACGGCGAACTTATCGCTATATCGCGGGATTTCTAGCATATCGATATTTTAATACCTTTGGGTAAGTCACAAACGGGAAGACAACGCACAAAATAGTCTTTAATTACGGACATCTGTCGCTTCGGACCAAGCTCGGTCAGTCTTCACTGTACTCCGAAGACGCACCGAGCTTGGTCCGAAACGTCAAATGTTCTAATTAAAGACTATTTGATGCGTTGTCTTCCGGTTTGTGACTTACCAAACGATTTTATTACCTCCCGCATAAAGAAATCATGTACGATTTTCAGTATAGGTATTTTTGTATATTCATGATTTAATTATTTTTGCGGTAAAATATGCATCTTCTAGTATAAAAAATTGAAAAAA